AGAGCCAGCATAAGCCCTTTTGAAAGGCGGCCAACGAGGCGGACTGACCCTTAGCGCCGGCCGTGTGTTGAAAGGGCTGTGCCTTCTGCGCCATCATCAGCTTCATCCAGAGAGTCAGGTCCATTTGATCCCACCTCCCACCTCCTCCTTGAGGTCAATAAAGTCCTCCAAGGTGAGAAGAGAAAAAATCTCGCAGAACTCACCTTTCCATATCCTCTCTTTTACCTCCTGCTTAAGGTGCACCCCCAGCGGGCCCGCGAATGACACATACGCGTGCTGTCTAGCCGCGTCGGGAACACCCCAACACAATTCCGCCCGTTCACCCCCCGCATCCGTTGTCTCTGCCGTCGTCCCAGCATCACAGCCGATGCTAGGCCCCGCGGACATCCCCACACTAGCACCTGCGACCCCCGCACTTTGAGCCCATACCGGGCCAACGCTGCCCCCTTTGTCACTCCCCGCTCCCAATGAGTGGAGTAGCGCTTGAAGTGTGTGTACTAGTGCGCTGGAGTGCAGTGACTCGCTGGACTCACCGGCCAAGCCCCCTGTTCCCAGAGTGGCAGGGGCTGCATCGTCCAACGCCCGGCGTCCAGGATGAGCGACATCCGTAATCGTCCTGCCAATCGGGGAGCCCACCCGTTGCCTCGCCTGTACAGCTGGAGAACGGCTCCGAGACCTGGAAATAGGAGAAGAAGTCCTGGGTAGGGGGTACTGAGCCCGTGCTCCCCTCCCGTCCTGACCTTGGGAGCTCCTGCCAACGTCCGAAGCCTCCCGCTCCCTGCCCCGTCTGCTCTGCGCCCGTGCGCCCCTGGGACTACGACTCCTCCCGCCCGTACGTGGGGACCGTCCCCGCCGACCGAGCCTGGGGGTTACCGCACCGTCTCTAGCTGGGCTACCAGACGCAGACCGGTGCCATCTGGATCTACCTACCATCCCCCCAGACCCCATGGTCCTAACCGGTGAAGGACTATTACTCTCCTGCCCTGAACTAGACCCCTCCCTACTACTACACGCCTCAGACTGGCCAGGCTCCTGGGGTGAACCCTGACCCCCCCCGGGCGGGCCCCACGCCTAGCCTCTCCCAGTGACCCCAGGACCGAAGCCTCCCCTGTCCCCCTAACATGTTTACCCGACCCAGACTGACCCATATCCAGAGGCCTACGCCTACCTCCCCCAGGCGACCCACACGCTAACTGGGGAGAGCCCGCTGCCTCCCTATAAACCCCAGCCCCGGAGCCCTGCTCCCCCTGAGGGATCCCAGCACCACCCTGGGCCCAGTCTGACAACCCCCCCTCCCTACCTGGGGATACCCGCTGGGCCTGCCCATCCCCTACTCCCGCCACCCATCCCCTGCTCCTCTGTGGCCCACTCCCAGCACCTTGCCCGCCAAGGGGGACCCGGCTGAGGCCCCCTGCACTTGCCTGTTGGCCCAGGGGCCGGCCGCGTGTCCTCCTGGATCCGGCCCCATCCTCTGCGACCACCGATGGGGTAGGAGTCCTCCTGGGCCGCCCCTCCGTGCCTCCCGACCGTCCTGGGGGCCGTCCGCACACCTCAACCTCGGGAGCCGCGGCGCCCCCGTCCATCCGCCTCCGGGCACTGCTCCTAGGCCCCGGCTGCTCGCAGGGAGGCGGGGCCTCGACCACGCGGCTGCCGAGCCTGTCACTGCTCGCCCCAGACGCCACCGGAACACTTCGCCCGGCGTCACTGGGCCCAACATCCGGGCTCAGCCGTCTGGGGGGCCTCCTGGCCCGGACCGGCCGCCCGCCGCCGCTGTCCCGTTCTGCCGCCACCGCCAGGGCCGGTCCCAACTGGGCCGTAACCAGTCAGCACCCTGCAGTCTCGCCGCCGACCGGATCCCCTCCAACAGTCGCTCCACGTCGTCCATCAGCCCTGCAGGGAGACAAAAAAGGGAAAAAACCCCACCAGGCCAAATCTGGGAACACAGAAGTGAACACAAACTCGGTCAGGTAGGAAATTAGAAGTGAGCTCACCTAAAATGGCTACCTATTTAAATAGCCCAGACTACTTACCCATAACTCCATACTTCCTTCCCTCCTCCTAATGCCTGCCTCCTAACCCCTGTCAAGGCCCATTTTCGCTTAGCTGTGCTTTGGCTACATGGGGCTACATTTGAGAGAGTGCAGGGTATTCTCTTTCATTGTTCAAACTGAGCTCAACTCCTGATGCATGGAGAAAAGGCCTTTTTTTTATATTGGGACATACAAAAAAAGAAACATTTGCAGCCTGCGGTGAATTTCTTGCAGTCCTGATGCATGGAGAAATGCTCAATTCCTGATGCATGGAGAAAAGGCCTTCACAAGCCTCTGCTAATGTGTGCCTAGTATATACTAAGTGACCCATAGGTTGAGGAGGCAGTGACCGTGGCGGTGTAGGTGGAAGCAGCAGTGGAGGAGGAGGATGAGGTAGCCAACACTGTTTTTTTTTGTTTTTTTAATTGTGGTAACCCACAAAATATTGGGACATACAAAAAAAGAAACATTTGCGGCCTGCGATGCATTTCTTGCAGTCCTGATGCATGGAAAAAAGGCCTTCACAAGCCTCTGCTAATGTGTACCTAGTTTATACTAAGTGACCCATAGGTTGAGGAGGCAGTGACCGTGGCGGTGGAGGAGGAGGATGAGGGAAAAAACACTGTTTTTTATATATATAAATATATATTTTAATTGGGGTAGCCCCCAAAATATTGGGACATATAAAAAAAGACAACTCTGTACTGCAGAGTAGCTGTTGACATTATAGTTGCGCAGGAACTTTATTGACTCTAGAGAACCTCGGGCAAATCGCACATCCCCGTGGCGGCGACTTTGCATGCGGATGTCATCCATATCAACTTTCAATGCCAGTTTCTGCGCTTACCATGGTGACCTCGGGTAACGGGGAATCAGGGACCCTGAGAAACGGCTACCACATGCAAGGAAGGCAGCAGACGCGCAAATGACCCACTCCCGATAGTGACAACAAATAACAATACAGGACTCTTTAGAGGCCCTGTAATTGTAATGAGTCTACTTGAAATTCTTTAACTCTGATCAATTGGAGGGAAGTCTGGTGCAGAGCCACTGACCCGTGCATGCTGCAGCTGAAACTCCACTATCGCCTGCTTCTGCTCGCACAGTCTCATGAGGCGGTGAGCGGGAAGGCCGAAGTTACACTGCAGCGCAGACAGTCGAGCAGCAGTAGGGTGAAAACGCCAAAAGCGTGCACAGCCACTACAGTGAATGTCACATCCTGTTCCGAGTTGCAGATCAGTCTGGTGATGGCTTCTGGTATCAAGTACTCTTTTACTGAAGCTGCATCAGGGTCCTGGTATGTGGTCGCACAAACGCTGGTGCTCAACACCAGGGGGCGTGCGGTTACCCTGCACCAGACCCTGCTAATCCATTCCACACTGTGACTCCTAACTTCAACATCAGGCATACTGGGTCCCAGTCGTCCGACTGCCGCTCAGACAGTGTCTGGGTCCTGGTCACTGGACTGCCCACCTCACCGTGAAACTACGAATGGATTGTTAAATATGTTCTGAACCCGAACTTTTCGGTTCGGGTTCGCTCAAGTCTATTATGGATCCTTTGATCGCTACCTGTATTACTTGAATAACTGCTAATTCTCGAGCTAATACATGCCGACGAGCGCTAGGGGATGACCGCTCCGCTTTTGCACCCTGCTCCCTCTTATGCTGTGCTGGTGCCTCTGTGCAACCAGCGCCTCTTCCTCCAAACTGCACACGTCACTTGCATGACCTTGATTCCATGTGGGGTCTAGGACCTCATCATCCTACACATCACCTTCCACCCACTCCTCAACCCTGCCCTCTTTGCCGGTATGCATGCTGCAGAAAGCCACATCAGTTGGCACCTGTGTTTTTCCAGCATGTAAAGTCTGCAAAGGACATATGGAAATTGTTTTAGAATTGTATCCAGGCAACAGTTTTCCCTATAAACTGACCTCTCAGTTTGACTTGTGAGGGTATTGCCCCAGAATTACAATATTGTTGAAGTACCTCTTAGCTATTGGTCACTGGTTAAAATATAGCAGCTTGTTATCTGGTAGTTTCTAGTGTAGAAAATATCAATCTGTTTTCTATGACTTAAATCTGTGTAACAAGTGTTGTAGGTGTGAAACAATATTACAAGTGACCAATGTAGTAAATTCGAATCAAAGTTCCATTTGCAAAAAAGATTCTCGCCCATCTTCTGTGGGTTATTGCATTTTTAAGATGTAGACTTATTGTATCACACTAGCCATGCACAAAAAAAAATCAGGCTACACAAAAATTGGTAATTCACAATATGACAGTGTGTAGTCATGAATGTAACAAGTAAAACTTTGTTTTGCAGACACTGGTTGGCCCATACATATTTTAAAACTTGTTTAATTTTGTTGTAGCATGACTTGTAGATATGAAGATCAGGCCCCAAAATGTACTATTTAGCAGGTTAGCACCCAGAAAATTAGAATTTGTACAAGTGCGCTATAAGCACACTATTAAATGCTTCTATTTGACTCTCAGATATTAATTAAAATTTAAAGTTTTAAAACTGCAATGTTACAGCAGTATTTGACGCTTCTATTTGACTCTCACATATGAAGTTTACCGCAGGCCGCAAATGTAATGTGGTGGAACAGAGCTCGCCGAGTGTTCTTGGAGGGGGCTGCTTGCCCGCCTCCTACCTTCTGACTATGGCCCTGGGATATATGGCATTTGAAAACACTATTTGTGCCCTGTGACAAAACTGGAGATTGTGCACAAATATGAATATTGTCCATATTTTTTATGATTCCCTTCGTTTGTTGCACTGTTCCCCATGTGTTTCATCTGTTGGTTCAGCTGGATAGACTACCAGACAAACCGTGGGGTTACTGGGTGGCCACCATTTCACGTATCAGAGGCACATGGTGAGAACAATGGATGAAGCACATGGTGAGAACAATGGATGGCGGCCATTTTAACTCACAGACACTGTTTTGACTTTTCTACACGGTGCCATCTCGCCGGTATTTGGTGCACAAAGACATCGTTCAGTAGTTTTAAACTACAGAACAGGGGACACATTTAACAGTAATTATTTTTTATATAGCCTGTATATGTTCTGCGGAATCTGCATTAAACCGTATCTTCCAAACTACTGAACGGATCTGGGTGAATTTTGGATATGTGGTTCACTCAGATCCCTCGGTTGCAAAGACATATTATATGGGGTTATTGCAATTAAGTTAGTCTATTGTGTTGAGATAATTGTATCACAGGCAGAGGGGAGGATTTCTGATGTAATGAATAGGAGTGTTAGCTGTGTTGTAATGTGTTGATTGGTTGTTCTTCAAAACCCTGTGGGCAGTACTATGTTTGTAGAATGAATAAGAGAGGCTGTATGTGCCAGTACAGTCAGTTCTACTTCACCCTCAATTTGGAGTGCCGTCTCTTATTGGGGGAATCTGCTACAAGGGATTGCTATGCTCTGCATACTCTCTTGCTATATTCACTGCTAAGCTCTTGTAAGAGCTTGTTTCTGTCCTGTTCTCTGAAGGAGTCCACGGTGGTTATGGTGTTGGCTGGAGTGCTTGGTGCCCTCAGGAAGCGCTAGGAGCATCCTTCAATGGAGGTACCCAGTCGGGGTGCCAGGTGATCCGTTACATGTACTATTTAGCAGATTAGCACCCAGAAAATAAGAATGTTTACCACTACGCTGTAAGCACGCTATTAGACGCTTCTATTTGACGCTCAGATTTGAAGTGCACACCACAAAATGTACTATTTAGCAGATTAGCACCCAGAAAATAAGAATGTTTACCACTGCGCTGTAAGCACACTATTAGACGCTTCTATTTGACTCTCAGATATGAAGTGCACCCCGCTAAAATACTATTTAGAAGTTTAGGACCCCAAAAAATTTAAGTTTTAAAACTGCAATGTGACAGCAGTATTTGATGATTCTATTTGACTCTCAGATATGAAGTGCACCCCACTAATGTACTATTTAGCACCAAAAAATATATACAGTTGCAAGAAAAAATATGTGAACCCTTTGGAATTATATGGATTTCTGCACAAATTGGTCATAAAACGTGATCTGATCATCATCTACGTCACAACAATAGACAATCACAGTCTCCTTAAACTAATAACACACAAAGAATGAAATGTTGCCATGTTTTTATTGAACACACCATGTAAATATTCACAGTGCAGGTGGAAAAAGTATGTGAACCCTTGGATTTAATAACTGGTTGAACCTCCTTTGGCAGCAATAACTTCAACCAAACGTTTCCTGTAGTTGCAGATCAGACGTGCACAACGGTCAGGAGTAATTATTGACCATTCCTCTTTACAGAACTGTTTCAGTTCAGCAATATTCTTGGGATGTCTGGTGTGAATCGCTTTCTTGAGGTCATGCTACAGCATCTCAATCGGGTTGACATCAGGACTCTGACTGGGCCACTTCAGAAGGCGTGTTTTCTTCTTTTTAAGCCATTCTGTTGTTGATTTACTTCTATGCGTCATTGTCCTGTTGCAACACCCATCTTCTGTTGAGCTTCAGCTGGTAGACAGATGGCCTTAAGTTCTCCTGCAAAATGTCTTGATAAACTTGGGAATTCATTTTTCCTTCGATGATAGCAATCCGTCCAGGCCCTGACGCAGCAAAGCAGCCCCAAACCATGATGCCCCCACCACCATACTTCACAGTTGGGATGAGGTTTTGATGTTGGTGTGCTGTGCCTTTTTTTCGCCACACATAGTGTTGTGTGTTTCTTCCAAACAACTCAACTTTGGTTTCATCTGTCCACAGAATATTTTGCCAGTACTGCTGTGGAACATCCAGGTGCTCTTGTGCAAACTGTAAACGTGCAGCAATGTTTTGTTTGGACAGCAGTGGCTTCCTCTGTGGTATCCTCCCATGAAATCCATTCTTGTTTAGTGTTTTACGTATTGTAGATTCGCTAACAGGGATGTTAGCATTTGCCAGTGACTTTTGTAAGTCTTTAGCTGACACTCTAGGATTCTTCTTCACCTCATTGAGCAGTCTGCGCTGTGCTCTTGCAGTCATCTTTACAGGACGGCCACTCCTAGGGAGAGTAGCAGCAGTGCTGAACTTTCTCCATTTATAGACAATTTGTCTTACCGTGGACTGATGAACAGCAAGGCTTTTGGAGATACTTTTATAATCCTTTCCAGCTTTATGCAAGTCAACAATTCTTACTCGTAGGTCATCTGAGAGCTCTTTTGTGCGAGGCATCATTCACATCAGGCAATGCTTCTTTTGAAAAGCAAACCCAGAACTGGTGTGTGTTCTTTATAGGGCAGGGCAGCTGTAACCAACACCTCCAATCTCATTTCATTGATTGGACTCCAGTTGGCTGACATCTCACTCCAATTAGCTCTTGGTGATGTCATTAGTCTAGGGGTTCACATACTTTTTCCACCTGCACTGTGAATGTTAACATGGTGTGTTCAATAAAAACATGGCAACATTTCATTATTTGTGTGTTATTAGTTTAAGCAGACTGTGATTGTCTATTGTTATGACTTAGATGATGATGATCAGATCACATGTTATGACCAATTTGTGCAGAAATCCATATCATCCCAAAGGGTTCACATACTTTTTCTTGCAACTGTACTTTTTAAAATTCCGATGTAACCGCGGTATTTGAAGCTTCTATTTGACTCTCAGATATGAAGTGCAGCCCACCCCTCTAATGTACTAGTTAGCAGAATTCTTTACTAAGCTGTCCCTATCAGCGGCAGCATCCACTCCCTATACTAATAAGACTGCATGTGTGTGCGGCGCTACGCAACCACAGCTTATATATAGAGGCTGGGTCACGTGCTGCACTGGCCAATCACAGCCATGCCATTAGTAGGCATGGCTGTGATGGCTTCTAAGGGCACACGAGTCAAACGCTTGTTGATTGGATGCCCTGCAGC